GCTGAATCAAAACCAGTCGACATAGTTGCAGCACGATTGTCATTAAAACTAAAGTTTCCCGGTATTGAAGTGTCACCGGATGATGGTTGATTTAAATGAGGATATTGTTTAGACATGGAAATACCTTGAAAAGAAAGAAAGTACTTATTTAATATCAATATTGTTCAAATGGAAATCGATCGGAAGGAAAAAAAGAGTTCTTTTTTTTGCATTTCCGATTGATTAAATTTTAAAATTAGTCAAAGCAAACCTGTACGTGAATCGGGCATATTATTATAGATTATTGGGGATACAATTTTGTTAGATTGATAATAATAATCAGGATGCTGTTGTTGTTGTTGTTGTTGAATAGGCAATGATTGTCCAATATCCTAAATTTCATTCAAAAACAAAAAAAGATCTACAATAAATTTATAATTATAAATAAATTTACTTTTGTATTTAAATTCCAATTATCTGATTTTGTTGATGTTGGTTGACCTTGATAAACACCACCATCAAGTATAAATGCTGGTGATGCTACTGAATTTGTTTTATGTTGAGAAAGATGTAGTGGTAATGGCACTTTAGGTGGACTAATATTAATATGATTACTAGTGACTAATTTTCCATCAATTTGTCGATCAATATCTAATGGTATGAATGGTTGTGGTTTTTCTAATCCTAAGAAGAAAAAAAAAAAAAAAAAAAAAAAAAATTCAGATGAAATTATTTTATTAAAATTACCTGGCTGACGAAAATCGGGTGCAGCTGCTTTAGCACTTGTTCGAGCTTCAGTACTATCATTTCGAGCTTGTTTTGCATAAATTTCAGCTGAATAAGCTTTTGAACGAGCATTATTTGCTCTAAATAAAATTATTTTTCATTATCAAAAAAAAAAAACACGAAAGAAATTTATTTTACCTTGCCATTGCTATTTCAGCTTTTTGTTGGGCATTTGTTGCAGCTTTCATTCCATTATTAAGAGCTGCATCAATTTTATCACGAAATTTTGATGAACGAAGTAAAAATAATTTACTTGGTTTACGTTTGTCAGATACTAAAACATTATTTTTATATTTGCCCTCCTCCTTAGTACCATCACGAAATGTAGTTACACCATAACCATTCTTCTTATTATTAGACCATGCACCTTCGTATTTTAAACCATCAGAACGTTCAGCTATACCAAAACCACTACGTTTATCACTTTTCCATTCTCCCATATATGTTTCAACAACATTATTATCAAGTATATCTTCCTGAGATATAAATGAATGATCACCATCATCAAATGTACCTGTTGAATTGGGTGTATTCGTATGTGATGATATTATTGTAGCTGTTTTAACTGAATGTTTTGAATCACCACTTGCTGAACTTCCTGTTGAACGAAATGAACTTGTCTTTTTTGTTGTTGATCGATCTTCAATATCACTTGTAGATTTTTGTTTACGTAATTTTGCTAAAAGTGTTTTACGTAATGATGGACGACGGTCAGCACTATTTGATAATGAACCACGATGTGGACCTTGACTAACACTACGTGATGATATATCATATGGATCTGATCTTGAACGAAGAACAAATCCACCACGATTTTCATCCATACGTCTATCTCGTTCACCTATTTTAATATACATAAATAGATAAATAAATAAATAAATAAGAAAAAAGAAAACTATTTACGTTGCATTCGTTCATCATCATCTTCTGAACGAAGTGATGTTAAAGAATCTCGTACATTTTTTGATCGATAACGTGATGCTAAACCATAGGGTACACTTCGTCGTATACCATAACCATGACGAAGACCTTGTTGTATTTGTCCATGATAAGTACCTCCATCAGCATATATTTCAACGCCATAACCATCTTGAAGTCCATTAGCCCATGTACCCTCATATCTAGCACCTGAAATTTCTGATGCACGAATACCATATCGTCCTTTAAAACCTTGTGTCCATTCGCCTTTATAAATCCATCTTCCTTTCTTTTCAACACCCAATCCATGTCGCTTTCCACTCATCCATTGTCCTTCATAAGAGTTTCCTGACGGCTAAAATACATATACATATATATATATAATTATTAATAGAACATATCAATAGATAAATATAATATTTATTTACCCATAAATAGATGCCCGAAAATTCATAGCCATATTGCCATGCGCCTGCATATTCACCTTGTCCTTTTGGTCCTGTACATACACCGTGTCCATGTGCTTTTCCATCACTCCATCCTCCACAATAAGTACCGCCGTCGTCAAAATCAAAACGGCCTCCATTCACTCCGACGCTCATCCGGGAGTCCGTTCAATAATAATCAACCTTAGTAACAACAGCAGCAACATCGACAACGACGACGATGTCGATGAGAGCAAAAGGAAAATATTGAAAACGAACAAGTGGCAGGGGGTCACACAAAAATGTTTTTACTAATAGTAATTGTAGACGAAGAAAATGAGGATGAAGGAGGAGAAGAATAAGAAGGTCGACGGCGTAACAATGATGTTGTGACGAGTAGTAATAGTAGTAATTTTTAATGTGTCGTCTTCACAAGTTGATTGATTCCCAGCAAAACACGGCGATGCACAATAATGCTGCCATGCACGCTTAGGCTAGAATAAACTAAATAAGTGAATAAGTGGGTTGATGGAAAAAAACGGAAATCATATATAAGACAGACACGCACACTATTTTTTTTTCTTGCCTGAAAGGCTAAAATCTCAACAAAATCTTCCTGGTGCTTATTAATTATTTTCTATAGTCATGACACACTTTTTTTTTTCCTTTTCATCTATAAACATTAATGTAGACAAAAGGAAAACATCGTATGAATTACATATTCCCAATCAGAATGACAAGAATATTTTAGTATAAACATTAGAGAAGAAAAAAAAAAAAATAAAGTAATGAACTTCACGGATTTTTCCATCATACACATCATTACCCATCCATTGTCATATAGAGGTTTTGTTTTCTTCTCTACTACTATATAATAACAGTATTAAAAGCTCGATCTAAGCGCTTCGTTTCTTTTTATCGACTCAAAAGAAAAAAAGTTAATATACATATAACTATACTAGAAATTGCATCACACACGAGTGCGTGTATTAAAAAGAGCTTATTCTCTAAACCTAGATAGAGGATGATCAGAAAGAAAACGAACAAGAAAGAGAAAGAAAGACTTGGTAGTCTCAGGATTTTATGTCGCGCATGCCTATTTATTTATTTTTGCTCTGAGTTGTGCGCGCATTACACACGTTGGATGGGCTTTCTCGCTCTCTTTCTCTTTTACACACAAACAGGCAGATTTCAGGCAGCAGCAGGCAAAGAAAAAGAAAAAGACGAATATGAAGACCAAGAGACAGAAAGAGAGAGAGAGAGAGAGAGAGAGAGAGCGGGAGATGCAGGAAGAAGAATACGGAAGGAATTGTCGTCAGTCGCTGTCGTCGTCTTCCTCAACTTATTGCGACGTAGGCGTACGATACAAGACTGAAGAATAGTACGCATGCGAAAGAAGGGAAAAAAAAGAACAAAAAAAAAGCAGAGAAGTATTGAAAATACTAATAAACACGTCAGATATACGAGGAGAATAAGAACGAACAACAATGAAAGAAAGAGAGATCTCTGGAACGCACATATATATATATATATATATATATATATATACAATGATGATAGTAAGAGCAGAGAGCAGAACTACAACAATAATAATAATAATAATAATAATAATAAAAATAATAATAATAATAATAACAACTACAGATGACGATGATGATGATGAAACTACTGTTGTTGATACAGCACGGTGATAGCAGTACGATGGTATTGGGCTTTCTGTAGGAGGAGGGGATGAGTCTCTTTTTCTCTTTTTCTTCATTCTCTTTCTAGTAGAATATGTATAGTATGATGGCAAAACAGATAACTTGACATTCACTAAGCACAAAAAAAGCCCCCCCCCCTCCTTTCTTCGTATCTTTTCCCTTGTTTCCTTCCAATCGATTTCTCTTCTTTGGACGCCCTTCGGTTTTTTTTTCTAGTCTGTATACAGATATATACCGCAACACTTCATATGTGTGGTTAACAAATAGACAGGAAAAGCGTGTCATTTCTATTTGATGTACTACTTTAACACTCATCAATACCATTGACAAAAGAAAATGTATTTGTGAATCAATCGTTAGTTCATTCTTAAGATGGTATTGTTAGAGACGGATTGACGAAGAAATCAGAAAGTAAAACTCGTCTAATATATTTTCCTTTTTTGTTTTCTTCTCTATCAACACACGCCTTCAAGTCACCTGTTCAAACTATGTATGTGTATCATCTTCATATTACCATAAAAAGATATAAAAAAAAAAACAGATTCATAGACAGAAAGACAATTTTTGTCTTTCTTCTACGCCTTTGGTTTGTGCGAAAAGCAAAGCATTAGTATCAACAATTTTTCTTTCTTTTTTTTCCCTAACACAAGTCAAGGTTGGACATTTGTAGTATAAAAAAAAAAAGAAAACCAGGCACATAATAATTTAAGCAAGGACAACGTATGGATCATTGATAAATACGAGCTTGAGCAAATTCCATTAACATCATATATCAACTATTTTTCAAATCTCATATTAATAAGATATATGTTGTATAGATTTATAAAAATCAATCTTTTTTTTTTTTTTTTTGATAATTCTATCCTTGATAATAATTGGAATGTTCATGTCTGATATTTGTCTTTAACATAACAGATAATTCAATAGACAGTTCAAGATAAATATGTAATGTGACAAGATACAACGATACATCAAATAACAATCTTTGAACAAACAAATCAAAAGAAGACAAGGAAAAGATGCAATGTACTTACATTCTGTTACTTAGTGAATGTTAATCTTACATTGAGAAGTTCATGATCATTGTCAGTTCCTTGTACTGTCTCATCTTTTTTTTTTTTTTTATCATAGTATATATGTAATGTAAACTCATACATATATCAAAAAGACGAAGAAACAATTTTTTTCTATGTATTCCGATTGGTTATTATTTTTATTAATAGTTTCTCTAATAAAAATTATCTATACAACAAATCTACGTTGTAATGAAGATATTAATGGTACTGTTCAAATAGTTGAAAATTGTCGTGCATGTATGATTTTTATTGATACAAAAATTAATAGAACAATTTTATCAAAAAAAAAAATTATGTATAATAAATCATCAATAAATGAATTATTTTTCTATGATGAAAACAAACATTATCGTCGTCGTTATAATAATACTATGATTCATCAAAAATGCGCTCGTGAATCTTATGGTCCATTATATGGTTATGATCAAACACATTGTTATTGTAATATAAATGAATGTAATTTAAATATTCAACGATGTATTTATGAAATAGTATCAAAACGTTATTTTTCATGTTATCATGGTTCTAATACAAGTTTTTATTCACTTGAAATTTATAAACAATGTCGTAGTTGTCGTATACGAATAGAAACTAATTTAACTTATTATTATGAATGTTTAATATTTGGTGAACAAGAACAAACAAATTATACACATTGTACATGTCAACATCCAATGTGTAATCAAGATTTTGGAATATGTCAACGTTTTCAACCGATATCAAGTCAACCACAAATAAATTTAATTCATACAAGCGTACTTAATTCAACTAAGAGTACTTCTACTAGTACAATAATGACAATAACAGCAACAATAACACCATTGATCATTAATTCGATGAAAATTTTAACGATCTTATCAAGTACCAATCAAACTGAAGTAGAAATTTTAATTGAAAATTCAACATTAATTGAATTAACTTCAATATCATATAATGAAACACAAGAAATTGAAACAAATATCGCTGAGATAAAAAATCATGCAGATTATTTAGCATCAAATTTTTATTATAATCAACCATTTTGTTTTCTTTTTTATTTTTTTTTATATGTGATTATTAATTTTGTCTTTTAGAAAGCAAATATAGAAAAATATGTATATTTAACTATTGAAAATATCATATGTCATTATTAATCTCTTATTGATTTTGTTTAGAAGTTAAGAATTTTAAATTTTAGTATTTAATTTTATTGATCGAAGTCGTTTTTCGAACAGTAATACATCTAGAATTTTGTTCAATGAAAGTACTTCAGTTGAAAACAGATAGTTCATGATCAAAAAAAATGTTTTAAAGTCCATTAGAGATAGTATTGGCTCTTTCTTTCGATTTGTCTTACTAGAACAAATCGAACGAAATTTTCCCAAGAAAACATCAATCATCGCATAGCGCCCTCGTGTAAATTCATTCCTGCATTTGGATGATGTCGCCCGATAAAATACTCGTTCTGTCACATGCGTGTGTCATTTTAATGGCTCTATGTTGACAATCTACATCAAAGAACATGATTAATGGCTTCCAATTCTTTTCGAACTATTCTTTAACTGACTAATATATATTATACGATAATCACAATGGCTAAATCATCTAAAGTAGAAGATTATTGGCGACAACATAATATTGAAAATTTATTTAAAGAATTAACACAAGTTCTTACTCGACGTATGCCACCTGATCCAGCTGTAGCATTAGTTGAGTATCTTCAAAAAAAATTTCCTAAATCATTTAAAACTACAACAGATAATATTGGTATTGTTCCAAAAATATTAGCCAATAATTTACAATTACAGTCACTAACTTCACCAAGTTCTGATGGTTACAATGAGAGTATAAAAGATGTACAAAGTGGACAACTTTTAGCTACACAAAATCAAGCTAGTAGTATTGTTACAATTCCAACAACTGGTTCAGCTTTTACTGATTTATTTAAACAAGATGTAAGAATGATTGTATTTTCTTTTTTTTTTGTTTTAAATACAATATTTTCTTTATATTCTTTTTTTTTTAGGCTACGAGTTCAAAACAAATGCCAGATTTAGATATAAAAACTCTTGTCTTTGCTAATCGTTTAGGTCAACAAGTTGTTAAAATGGGAAAAGATATTCGTTCAGATCGTGATATACTCGAAGAAGAATTAATTAAACCAACAAAAACCAAATCAACAACATTATCAACAGCAAATGAATCAATTAATACAGCTTCAGAAGGTCTTCAAAATACAGAAACACATGAAGAACCATCTGTATTACAATTAATTAAATATAAACAACAAATTCATATTGAAACTAATCGTCGTTTACATCGAGAAAAACTTGCAGGATTAGCAAACTCTCAACGTGAAAAAGAACAATTTTTCTCTGATATTTCTTCAAAATCAGGAGAAATTCAACAACAACAACAAACATTATCAGAAGCTGTATCAACAGACACAAGTAGTACTCAATTACCTTATAAACCTATTGTTAAATCAAAAGAAGAAGAAATATTAAATGATGAAAATCTATTTCAACCGAGAAAACAACGTTATCGTGGAAGACAAAGAAATAAATTAATGCCATCACTTACAAATACTTCATATATACGTGAACGAAGTACAACAGATTTTCGATCATCACTAAAAAGAGATGCTGGAAGTTTAGTATGTAATGTATGTGGTAATGTATTGAATGACCAAGAACATCAATCGATAGTTCATTCTCAACAAGTTGCAGGTCAGTTTATTTATTTAAAAACTATTGAAATTGATTGTAATTTCTGTTTTTAGCTATGCCAATAACACATTCATTAGAACTTCTACCATCTACTCGATCTGTAGAAAAAAAAGATGATGTTGTTGATGATTGGTTTGAAGCAGCATCAGATGCATCGAGTTCACGGCAATTAACTCCTGTAGTATCAAATGATATAATATCAACACGAATTGGTTCAAGTACATTTCGACGAAATCTTTTTCGACCAATTAGTGATAATAACAATGATACTGTAGAACATCAATCACCTATACGACCTTTAATTTTGAGTGATGATGAAACAAAATCTAAACGACTTAAAACACCACGTATTTCTGAAACTGGTATTTTCTCAAGATCACCTGAATCAAAAGTTCGTTCGCCACCATTATCACAAAATCTATCATCACCACTAACAATACAACATCATACAGATACTGACGATGTTACCAATCGTCAATCAGCAAAACCTATAGCACAACCATCATCTGCAAGATCAACTCCATCATCAACTTTATTAACAAGAATGACATCAACTAATGATCGAAGAATGTCAGGTTGGAGTGTATGTGAACATTCACTTGATGATTCCGACGAAAATTAATTTTTTTTTTTTTTGCATTTTTTTAAATATTATTATATCATTGTGCCTAAAAAATATGGTAGAACTAAAAGAAATAAAAACAAAAGAATTATTCAAGATTTATCAATCGATATAAAGATATTGTATTTAAAAATTACAAAAACAAAACCATATTAGCGTTCAATCTCAGATCTCATGTTGGACGCGTCCAATCTCGAATTAGAGACAAAGTATATTGTACTCTATGTAGAGATGTTGTCCAAAAAAGTACATTGTTTTTTTTTTCATATTATTTGCTTGTAATTAGACATTGTATATTTTTTTAAAAACAAAAATTTCAGACCAGGATCCAAGACCAATGCGACGAATACTAAGCCAATATAAAACCTTATGCGAGTCTAAGATTGGACGTTGACATACACATAAGAATAGCATATTTTAAAATTCATCCCATAATTCTTCAGTGTATTATTTTAAATAAGTAAATGAGATTCGGTTCTCTCTCGCTCTCTTTTTTTTTTTTTATCTTGTTCGATCTCATTCAAAATATTTATTAATTATACAAAAAGAAAAAACAACAATATGAAACAGACATTAAAAAAAAAATGTATCTATTCAAATAAAAAAATTAATTATTTGCATAATACATATACTTAGATTATATACAATAACAATAGAAGTTAATAGATAAATAACAAATAAAAATTAAACTTTTGTTTCAGGTCCTGTATTTAAATGAACAAATGAATCGCGAAGTTTCATCATCGATCGAGTTAATATTGAACCATAAACTTTTGAATACCATTCATGAGAACGTCCCATTAAATCAACACGACTCAAATGTGTTATTTTAGATTTTCCACATCCTAAAAAAAAAATTACTTATGACATAATTTGTAAAAAAAATAAAAAGAAAACACTAACCATAAGATTGAATTAAATATCGTGAAGCCAATGTAACTGCACGAACTATTAACAAAAAAAAAAAAAAAAAAGAGAAAAAATTAAAATCTGATTTATTTTTTTTTTTTTGTCTAATATTAAAAAATATACCAAGTTTAGGTGGACAATGTCCTTTCGGATGTTCAATAGATGTACAAACAAGAACACAAGCTTCTCGTCGTTGATTATTTTGTGTTGAAATCAATGATGTAATAGCATTTGATGAAGTTGATAATGATGAATTAACAGGAAGATTTATTGATAATTTATTATTTTGATAATTACCATCTGTATTTAATTGAATATTTATTCTCCAACTACGTACTTCACAAAAATATCGAGATGCTAAAGGAGCCTAAAAGAATTTTATGAAAAAAAAAGAAAATTCATAAATTTTTTTTTTGTTTTAAAATTAGAATTAGTAATTATTACCATTGAATTGATAGTATATTGATAAACATGTGTATTACGATTTAATTTTTCAATAATAGTTCCAGATTGAAAATCTAGAATAATATAAGATTTAAATATTCATTGAAATCAAAAACAAAAACAAAAAATATAATAAAATTAATCTTATTATCAATAAGAAAATTTTAAGAAACTTTACACAAATTATTTATTTTACAAATGAAATCATAACTTCGAAGAAGTTCGACTTCATATTATGACTACTAATAGATCTCAATGAAATTAAACCAAATTTGTGGCCATGGTCTATTGATAAAGAATTATAAATGTTTTAATGAAATATTTCCTGAGAGCAAGATATTGCTGAAAAATTCAAAACAAGAATTTCGACCTAAAATTTGAATGAAAATTAATATGTCTTTGTCGAGATACTCAATTATTGTGTCCTTCTATGGTAAACTGCTACTTTTTTTTTTTTGAAAATTGAATATTTCGAGAAAGACATGTTCGCGTTGTCGTTGAAATTTTCAAGACAATCTAATGACTATCAAATGTGCCTATAGGTTAAATTTCAAGTCGAAACTCTTTGGAATTTTCGGAGATATTCGTAACTATAATATGAAATTGAATAGCATCGAACAGTTGAGTATGTTGCCTCGTTAGAAGCAATATGCATGTAACGACTCTTAAGGTGAAGGGTATGTATTTCAATTCATATTCGATTAGATTGTTTAGTAAACGATATGTTCATGAGTTTTGGTTTCATTTTCAAGTATTTTATCGTTCTTTATTTGCTTTCAATATTCACGATTGGAACTATCTTATTTATAATCTTGTACTATTTTTCATCTATTTGTTCTCTTCTGTTAACTTTTTTTCTCTTTTTTCACTGAATAGACCATGAGACTCAGTATAATAAAAGCATATAATAGAAAGAAAAAAAAAAAACAACAAAAGCCCATCAATACGAACCATCATCCCATAAATGTCTTTCATTTAAAAGTCGATTAAGAATTTCAATAGGTGGTGCTTCAATTTCAATTGAACATTTCCATAAACCAAGTGGATGTCCATCATTTAATTTTTTATATGCTAATTCAATATCATTATTTTTTCCAAATGATGTCCATCCTTTTAATTTTGTATAACATGATTCACGCATTACTTCAATTATACAGCGATCAATAAAATTTTGATATGATGTATTTGTTTTTATTTTTATTGATTTTAAATTATTATTATTATTATTAACATTTAAAAGTATATTTTCACATGATGATGATGATGATAATGAACCAATAGAATCAGATGCTGATATTATACCAATTTCTTTTGTACGTTTTTGTATTGTACGTTTATTTGATAAATAACGACGAGATTTATTTATAATTGGACTTATTATTGTTGTATC